AGCAGGCCCAAAGAGCAAACGGGGCACAGCCTTTGAGAAATGATTCTCACTGCTGCCCCTGCACAGGTGAATAAATTCTGACCTTCCTCTGAAAGAACCCATGTCTGTCGTTATTGACTGGGAAAACCTGCAACAAGGGTGTGGTCTCAACGGCCACATTCTGCCTGAGGTTGTCCATTCCTGAACCAACTCAAAGGCTGGAACTACGGGGAGCTAAGGACAAGGGCTGGTTTATGCTATTTCCCGCAACTCTGTGTTGTAATCAAAATATGCTTTAGTTGGGCACAGTTGATGATGGCCAGGCAGACATCTGAGCCCATCTCTCTCAAAATGCTATTCACTCACTGCAAGCTCTCCAGAGCTGGGGGTCATCCAATGAAACTGACCGGCAATAAGTTTAAGTTCAAGCAAACAAAAGGGAAGCTTGCTTATCATGCAACACGTAACTTGCCCAGGGACCATGTTGTCACAATATGTTTTTGTGATGGCCACTGGCACGAGGGCCTTTAAAAAGGATTGCACTGAGAGAAAGTGAGCCCCAAGTTCAGCAGAGACAGGCAGGCCTGCATTGTGTAGTTAAAAAAAAAAAGTAGCAAGAGTGATGGAGGGAAGCAATCGAAATAATGGCTCCTTCTTTCATTGGATGTTATAATCAGAGGACACGGAAAGGTGAGTGGGAACTAAGGGAGAACGGGCCGATTGGTCTTCTATCTGCACTTTATAAAGGTTTCACAAAAAGACCGAACAATTGATTTCAGTGTAATGTTGGATTTTAATCAAAGCAGAGAATAAGTCAACTCTTTAATCAAGATTTTCTGTAATGGATTATTTTTCTAATTGGACGGGTACAGGAGACAAACGCATGGAACCTGGTGCTCGGTGGCATTCTTTAAATATTGGTAAACTCTCAATCTCAGCTGATTGTGAGATAAAATCTCTACTGGAGTAGGGCACTCTTGGAGGTCACGCATTCAACTCCTAAAGCTATGCAATGAACAAGAGTCAGGCAACTATCAAGTTAATTCACCTCTGTAATGAAGACCATTCTCCTTGCTGAGACAGTTCATTGATGGGTTAAACGATGAAGGACAGAATCAGGACATCCCCACAGTTTACTGAGTTTTCCATTGGCGTCAAAACCCATGTAAAACTCAGTCACCCCATGGCCAAGTCCCATTGAAATCAACAAGAAATGCAACTAAACCCAGTCAATTGCTTTTAATAGGATGAAGGTCCTCTCTGAGCCAAGAGTGCCTGTTACTGCTTTTATAAGAAGGGATAGCTACTCTCGTCTAAAGGCTTATATATAGTATTCAAACAGTTCTCCACAGATAGAGCCTCTTTAAGAGATATCTTTAAGAGGGCTAGGCTGACCAGATCATTCTACCTCAATCTCACAGGTCTATACTGTTCCATTCCTTTCTGCTGTGTGCCATTGCATCTCATACCATCCCTTTCTGCCCATCTGTGAGTACTTTATGCAAACTTTGTATAGAAAATATACATTTTTTAAAAACATACCAATGATTTTCAACGGCATTGACCAGTAAAATGGCATAAAGGGCTGTATGGGCTGAGACTTTGAGCAAGGAATCTTCCTGGCTCTGCTCTGCTGTGTCCCATCAATCTTACCTCTTGGTTCTTTGTTTCTGGCTCTTGTTTTATCTCTGACATCCTGTCCTGTTGTACACATGCTGTTCACTTGTATATGAATTGGCCCACTCTTTTGCTGGCTGGTGTCCATCTATGTGTGCTGTGCAGCAAACCTTTTTTCCACCAGTTAGTCTTTAGGGTAAGAGGGGAGACTTAGGATTGGTGAAAAGTTTAATGACCCTCCTCCAAGGTTTACATTTCAGTGCATTGTTCACATGCGGCTTGCAAGTATTTATTTCTTCTGCAGCACAGGTACATTTTTCCCCCCCAAACAGGGGTGGAGGCTTTCCTAAGGAAATCTTGGCCAATTCAAGGATTACATAGGTGATATGATGATGTCACATCCTGCAGTCAGTCAGATTTGACAATATGGATAATGTCACAAAGCCAAAACGGAGTAAGGGCTGGAATGCAAAACTTCCTGATGACACCACATAGCTGATCAGATTTGGCATTTGATGATTTAACAAAACCAAGTCAATGTAAGGGCACTGCTTCCTGCCTTCATTCTGAGTTGGTGAACATTTGGGTCCCATTCACAGGGCTGTCTGAAAAATTGCTGAAGTAAGGGAGGTCATTACACGAAGGAGTCAGTCTTCATTCAATGCACCTCCTAGTTTTAGTCAGCCCTGGTTCCAAAGGCTCCCAGCTCTTCCCTGCGTCTACCTTCCAAAAGCCTACACACCTCTCTCCTGCAACATGAGTCTCTTCCAGTTCCACTATCTCTGCTCCCACTTGCCTAGATTCTTCCCTCTGATTGATACTCCACTGATGCCTCTTGGCTTGACTCTGAGAACACAATTCCCCTGAGCCCTCCCTATAATCCAGTTCTTGTGTCACCTGCCAAACATCAGCCCATACGAAGGTCCTTCAAATGAATCCCGCCATGACATTGCATCACCAAAGCCAAGCTGACAAAATGAACAGAAACCTTTTTGCAATGGGCTCATTTATTACAGTTCTAATCTAACAAATGAATGGGGTTAGCCAGCACTGAAATCCAAGTCAATCGCCCTGAAGCAGCATCTTGGCTTCCGTTTCACTGCTTCTGGATAAGCAAAATATTGCAGTCTTTAAGGAGACCGGTGTATGAATGTCAAGAGCACCCATTCACTGGGGCTGTTAATTAATTAATTAAAACATTTCTCATATGGCTAAATCTATCTTTCTATCCATCTATCCATCTATCCATCTATCCATCTATCCATCTATCTATCTATCTATCTATCAATCAATCAATCAATCAATCATTTGGGTTCCAATCCTATTCCACTAGAAATAAACCCTACTGAATTGAGACTCCTGGATTTCACTGTTAGTGCATGAGTGACACTAGGTTTCTGAAACTGCAAAAAAGAGGACGCTATGATGACTCTCATTTTAAATACCCCTACTATATGTAGGCTACAGAAGCTGTGATATATTGCTGAGAGAGGCAGGAGAAGAGAAGAGGAAAGTAAGTCTTCATCCACCAGTTATCTCTATGTCTCATCCAGAAAGTATAGCCAGAGACATTTTGGCAAATTTTTTAAAAAATGTACCCGGACATAAATGTTACCCCTGAAAAAGAGGATGTGTCCTGGAAAAAGGGGACACATGGCAACCCTAGTAAGTACTGCAATGCTTTTGTGTTTACACCTTTGCAAGGGAGGAGGATGGGAAAAGAACCAAAACAACTTGGCCCGACCCATGTGCCCTTTTCCCATCCATGTGACCTTATTGCACCCACCTATATGGCCTCATTGGCCGCAGGCTGCCCCACCAGGTCCAGGGGCTACCAGCCACCACTGTTTCCCTGGATTCAGGGGGAGGGATGTTGACTTTTTTGTCTCCTATTTTGGGGTGTGTAAGTCTTTTGCCTGGTTTTTTCGGGGGGCGGTGAGTTCTGAACTTTGCCAGTTTTCCTTCTCTGAAATGGGTATATTGCGCTGCTCTCAACAGTTCCTAAGAGGGTCAAATGTGATCCAGGGTCCCTGATTTTGTCTGATACAATCTACTTTTTAAAAAGACATCAGAATGATCTTTGTTTCTTATCCATCATTTACAACTGTGTCAAATATTATATTGTGATTTCTTTCGCATGTCTAATCTCACAATTGAGATTCATGTTATATGTAATGGAAGACTTTAATAACCAGGTAAAAAGTTTTAAAGGACCTTGGATGAAAAACACTGATAAAAAAATGCATTGTTTAGGGCACTAAAAAAGAAAGATTTTTTTTAATATTAAAAAAAATCTATAGTCACACCCAAAGAACAGTCTCATCTTTTTACTGCAAAAAAACCCCGCCACCAGTTTAACATTCTACCTGTGGCATTAGCTATAAAAAGGATACTTTTAAACCCCTAAGTAAGTAGGATAATAGTACCCTAAATCTAATAAAATGTGACATCAGATATCAGAAAATATGATTTTCTGCCAACCAAGCTGGTAAGCTACTTTATGTGACACTTTTCAAAAAGAGAACATTCTTCCTGCGTCTCTTAACATTGTGTCTGAAGGGGGTAAACTGCCGGTTAGGGGACATGTGTGAGGATAAAAAAGGCCTCTGTGTAGCTGACATGTTGTCCACTCATGTATGGCTCCATGTCACCTTATTTCTGCTGTCACAGAACCTGAGGCTAGTGCTTGATGCAATACTGGATTTCCCTCCCATCCTCCTGTCTCACTCAATAGTTATTTTGTCTCCTTGTTTTTCCGTGTGTGTGTGTGTGTGTGTGTGTGTGTGAAAGGTCCATGCAGAAACGGTTTGTGTTGGTCTTTCGGTTTTATTCCTATATTCCCAAGGAATCATGTAGCTAATGTAAAGCCCATTGATTTGAATGCAAAGACTTTAATTGGCTATAATTAAGATCAGGTCAGGATATAAAAGTCTGAGAACTGCAAAACGAGAAGCACTCCTGAAGTCAACAAATTTTTGTCAGGGCAAGTTTTTTTGTTGTTTACCGTCGTAACAAATTGTTTTCTCAAAACTTATCTTCTGTACTATGAAAATAAATAAAAACATTGCTTTAAAAAAAATGTTTGGGGGAGTTTGACCTTTCACAATGAAATCAACCTACACATAGGTTACTATGAACTTAGTATATTTATATTGAGTCAGACTGCTAGTCCACCTCACTCACTAATGTCTACACAGACTGGCAGCAGCTCCTTAGGGTATTATTAGACAGGGGTCTCTCCCAGACCTACCTGGAGATGCTAGGAATTCTGCATGCAAGGCAGATGGTCTACCACTGTTTTCCCCAGTACTTCTCAATATAGGGTTAGGAATCACAGAACTGTAGAGTTGCAAAGGACCCCAAGGATCATCTAGTCCAACCCGCTGCAGGCAGGAATATGCAGCTGTCCCATATGGGGATCGAACCTGCAACCTTGGCATTATCAGTACCACGCTCTAACCAATTGTTCCCCAACCCTGAATAAAGACTCTTTCATCCATTGTTGTGATGGCCTGGGATTCCGATTCAGAGGCTGAACCGGAGGAATCCCAGCCTGCACAGGAGTCCCCGCCTCCAGGGCCGGCTGAACTGGGGCAGGGCCCTGAGTCTGAAGCGCCTGCACCCGTGCCGGATCCTCAGGAGCAGGCACCAGGTGAATCCACTCTGGCTCCGGAGGTGGTTGAGGACTCAGTGCCTACAGGTGAGTCTCCCCCTGGGTCCATTAACCCTTCAGCCTCTCCTGAACTGCAGAGGCTTAGGGCAGAGAGGCGAAGGGAACTGGTTTCTCCCAGGAGGAGTGCTCGCCTTAAGGCCAGGGGAGGCGGGTCTCCTGGGGGCCGGGACCGCCCCTGGCCTCAGAGAAGATAAAGGCCAGTCAGCCCGGTCCCAGGTTGCGGGAGCAACGTCGTCGTTGAGTACCTGCTCCTACCCGGACCCAGACCTGATCTTCCAGTGTTCCTGTTCCCCGCCCGGCTACCTGCTTCTGACCTTCCAGTGTTCCTGTCCCCGCCCGGCTTCCCGCTTCGGACCTCGCCTCGCTCCTTGTGAACTGTTTCCAGGCTAGTGACTCAGGACTGTTCTTTGACTACGATAACGGTAACCTTCCCCCCGGGACCAGCACAATTGTGCAACATGTATCTTACAGTCTTGCTATTACAGTCATACCTCGTGTTACGTTTGCTTCATGATACGTTTTTTCAGGTTGTGTCCTGTGGTGACCCGGAAGTACTGGAAAGGGTTACTTCCAGGTTTCACCGCTCGCACATGCGCAGACGTGCCGCTGCGGGTTGCGTTCTATTCATGTTGCGAACGGGCCTCCGGAACGGATCCCGTTTGCCACCAGAGGTACTACTGTACTTTGAAGATCTTTACTGGAGACAGCTACATGCCACAGTGGTTATTGCAATGAATATGTTTACTCTGTAATAAATACCAATGCTGTTTTGCTTATTTAATACAGTGGTACCTCAGGTTACAGATGCTTCAGGTTACAGATGCTTCAGGTTACAGACTCCACTAACCCAGAAATAGTACCTCGGGTTAAGAACTTTGCTTCAGGATGAGAACAGAAATTGCGCCGCCGCGGCAGCGCGGCAGCAGCAGGAGGCCCCACTAGCTAAAGTGCTACCTCAGGTAAAGAACAGTTTCAGATTAAGAACAGACCTCCAGAATGAATTAAGTTCTTAACCCGAGGTACCACTGTAGAAATTAACCCAAACTACTAGGACTGTTTTGGTGAATTAGCAAAAAAACAGCACAATGTATGATGTTTGGAATGCTTATTTACACAAAATGGCTGACACTGATTAAAATGTCTTTGTAGCCTGAAATGTTAATATCCCACTGTTGTAGAATGGAAAAGGTGGTTAGTTACATAGAAGGCAAAACCCAGCCCCCCCAATGCCCACATTGTTTGGACCATAACCTTAGTTACTAGCACAGAGGTAATGGGGTTGGGGAGGCTAATATTGGGGAATTTCCTTATATGGCCCCCTGCGATAAGCATTTAGAAACCAAGCAGAACTAAGGGAAGACTGGAGCAAACAGGAAGGGCAACAGTTCATATGCCACAAGTAGTAGTTCAGGCTGGCAAAGAGGAAGGTGGGTTCAGCACCTTGGAAAGAGACTTATACATGGGTTTCAAAACCACATTTAGCCATCCTGCGTTTGAGGCAAACAATACAAGGTGGCTCAGCAATGCCCTGGAGTAACTGGTAGAGCTTGATAGCCTAAGCTGCATATCAAAGGGTCTATGTACCAGCCACAAGGTTCCTCTTGTATCTGTAACTTTGGGAAGCAGCCCAATCTAATTCACAGCTGCTCTCATTTGACTCGTTTAGGATTGAATTAGATTTGTTAAAAAGTCCCTATTTACTATAGTGGGGAATGTGAAAGAAAAAAAAAGGCTACAGCTTTCTTTTTCCTTTCACAGAAGTGGATGGAATTTTCTGGCATAGCAGCTGCTTCATGGTGGATTGAGCCAGCCAAATTGTAGGCAGATAGATCCAGGGATTTTCACAGAGGGCACCTTAATTTTTTTATTATTTAAAAGTAGGGATCCTACATTATATTATCCTTCCTGTAATGGTCGCTTCATCCACCCTTGCCTCTGTCCTTTGCACTTTCTCTGTATCCCAATTGTGTGCATCCCACTGCATCCAAGATTTCAGAGACTTACCTTGCTAAACATATAAGAAGTCAGAATGGAAGCAGGTGCTTCCTAACATTTACTAAGTTCTTTAAAGTGTGTCTCAATCTTGAAATGGACAGCATATCCACACTTGAAAATATGACCGAAAATCAGTATATAGGCTGATATGGAAATAACTGAGAACTTCAAGTCAGGCAAAACTAGAAATTACTGCAAGTACTGTAACATTTTGTATTATAGCCAAACTAACATTGCATGTAGTTTGATGTCCCCCCAAATTTATGTTTTTCTCGTACAATCATATTCGGGTGCAGGGGGGGGGTCTTGCCTCTCCAGACCCAGATTGCCAGGTACAGTTATTACTTTGTCCCTAGTTACTTGTTTCAAACATTTCTATACCACCCTTCAACCAATAGTTCCTAGGGTGTCCAATTAAAGGTATTAATTAATTAAGTATCCTGTTAAGAGCTCTTAGTCTGTCCCAGACCTACTCAGACAAGAAAGAATGACATTAAATTAATGGAAGGCATTTCATAAAATCTCTGCCAAAGCCCTGTGTAGACAAAGAGGTGTTTTTTTACAACTCTTGTGTGAAATGGCATGCCATATGCCTTTAATAATAATGCCTCATCTTTTTTCTCGTTTTTATTTCTGTAGGCTTGTTTTCAAGAAACTAGAACCCTGAGAGTCATGGATCAGGATTGCCGTACTATTCCTTAGGAGTCGCCATGCCCTTTTTGTTGAAATGTGAGTCGCCTGTTTCCATCTGAGCTGGTCATCATGACTTATTCTTGATTTATATATTTTATCTGCACCATCAACAATTTGGTTCCTGGGTTTGTTTTCCTCTTCCCTCCTTATCCCCTTTTCCTTTTGTGTCGTGCCTTTTCCGATTGTACTCCTGAGGACACAGGTTTTGTGGGCAAGCCCACTCTGGTAGCTTTTCTGTGCAACTACTTTGCATAAATAAATAGATAATTTGTTTCCTATTTATTTTTAATGACCTTTATTCCTTAAGGTGACGACTCTATGAGGAGCTTTGACTTATCCAGCTTGTGTTGCTTCACATTATCTGCATTAGACATTTACATTTCTCCCTTTATGACCATTTTAATTACAGCATCCCAATTTCGGCTCCTTACTAAATATGAATGAAGCAGATGAAGTGTAGCCTAGCTGGAGCATGATGCTGTTTAACGCCAGTTACTATCTTTAGCTGAGATGCTGGGATTCATTCTCATCTCATTTGCTGAGCGCTCTATCATTAAAGTGTCATTGAAAACTGACACCACTTAATTTTAGCAGCTTTCAATTCTCGTTTGCAGCAAGAATAGCTTTAAATGGAGAGGAGTGCAAATTACAGAGAGAAGGGATATTTTTACACTGCACTCAGCATTTTATCAAACAAAGCTGCCTCGCAGGGAATAGGGAACAATACGTTATAAAAAGCCAAACTCTCCTCTGGTGCTGATAAATGGGCATTTGATCTTCCTTGTGTTGGCTTCTGTTTTACGGACTGCTTGCGGTGGCCATAGTCTTGGCTATTATATTAGCGGAGTTGTTTCCTAGCCTCTAAGATACATATAAATATAACCATATATAGATGTGGTTTTCAAAAAACTAAAACCTCTCAGCTCAGTTCCTTTCGCATCCCCTGGAAAGAATCCGTGGTTCTTTGCAAAGCAAAGTCTCATATGGAAAAATGTACTTCCTAAGCCCGTTAATTGCTTTTCTTCTCGTTACATTTTTTTTAAAAAACCCAGTGGGAATTAGGGGGACCAGGAACTGGGAATACAGACAATGTTTAACCCCTTCAATTTGGTTTTATTCCCTAATTGAATATAAACACACAGAGAGAGGGAGACGGGCTGCGTTTGGAGACAGCTGCTGCTGTTAAGATGCTGCGCCGACCTTTGTAAAGCAGGACAGAAACGGCATTTGTTTTCAGGACCTGCTTCCTGCTGCAAGCATCCTTTCGTTCATAAGACTATTGACCATTTCTCTCTGTTTCTAAATTAAATCGTATTTAGCGGACAGCCCATACAGTAAAAGGCAGTCACACAGAGAATAATTTACTTACATTGAACTAGACAGCAGTACAGCCGACATCAAAGTTCAAGAAAGATTTATAATGCAATGTTATATATATATATATATATATATATATATATATAATATCAATCACACAAAATAGGAAGCATCTATATATATGTGTTCATATTTAGTCCCCAGATTTAATTTCTTCTAGAGACCATTCTCAGATCTGATACTATCAATTACTTGAATGCTTTTCCTAAGAAAGAAAGAAAGAAAGAAAGAAAGAAAGAAAGAAAGAAAGAAAGTCTGATACCTTTGGAAGGCTAACAATGCAATGCCACTTGTCATATAATTTGTTATATAATATTATGCATAACTCCTATTAGCTCAGAACAAGATCACATTAAAGTTTGACACTTTTTAGGCCCCGTGGGAGAATGAAACACATGCTTATTGTTGAAATCCTTTGCAGACTCACTTAAGAGAAATACCCATTGTGCAACAATGGGATTTACTTCTGAGAAAACGTGTCCAGGACTGAACTGCAAATCACCCCCTTACGATATCAGTGGGACTTGCAAGAGCTCAATTTAGGCTGACTCTGCCGTGCCATGTGTGTGCTGTGACAATGACATGCTCATATTGAATTTGATTTGAGGCCACTGGGGATTTTTTTTAATCTACGTGATTTGGGGAACTTTACAATTTTCTGTTTTGATAATTCATAGTTCTGAAAATGGGATATGTTTTAACTTATTATTGGGTTGTGTTTATTTATTATGATTTATATTGCAATGGCCA